GGACAGAGGAGCCTAGAGGGCTGCAGTCCATGCGGCTGCAAAGAACTGAACATGACTAAGCGACTTTCAGTTCGCTTAGTGGTTTTATTAGGTCCCAGACCACCTGGCTCCTACTTTACCTCCCCGACCTGAAGCCCTAAGGACATCAGGTGCAAGTGTCTCATTATTGTTCCTCTGACACACCAGGCTTTGCCTTAGGACCTGTTGTTTTTGCCGGGAGGGTTCTCTCCCACCATACCTAAGCCAGCTCAAAAGTTATTGCCTGGGTAAATTCTCCCTAACCACCTGGTCTCAGGAGAAATAACAATAACCTCAGATATGCAGATGCAGATCTGTCATAGGCACCCTTATGGCAGAAAGCGAAGAGGAATTAAAGAGCCTTTTGATGAAGGTAAAAGAGGAGAGAGAAAGAGCAGCTTTAAAACTCAACATCCAAAAAACAAAGATCATGGCATCTGGTCCCATCATTTCATGGCAAATAGATGGGGAAACAGTGGCAGACTTTATATTCTTGGACTCCAAAATCACTGTAGATTGCAGCCATGAAATTAAAAGACACTTGTTCCTTGGAAATAAAGCTATGACAAACCTAGACAACATATTAAAAACCAGAGACATTTCTATGCCTACAAAGGTCCATCCAGTCAAAGCTATGGTTTTTCCAGCAGTCATGTATGGATGTGAGAGTTGGATCATAAAGAAGGCTGAGTGCTGAAGAACTGATGCTTTCCAACTGTGGTGCTGGAGAAGACCCTTGAGAATCCCTTGGACTGCAAGGAGATCAAACCAGTCAATCGTAAAGGAAATCAAACCTGAGTATTCATTAGAAGGACTGATGCTGAAGCTGAAGCTCTAATACTTTAGCCAACTGATGCAAAAAGCCAACTCACTGGAAAAGACTCTGATGTTGGGAAAGATTGAAGGCAGGAGGAGAAAGAGATGACAGAGGATGAGATGGTTGGAGGGCATCACCGACTCACTGGACGAGAGTTTGAGCAGACTCTGGGAGATGCTGCAGTCCATGGAGTCGCAAACAGATACAACTGAGCAACTGAAGCACCACCACCTGGCCCTCTCTGTGTCTCGCATGAGTGCGTGTGTGCTAAGCTGCCCTAGCTATCTCTGACTCTTTGCAACCCTATGGACTGTAACCTGCCAGGCTCCCTTGTCCATGGGATGCCCCAGGCAAGAATACTGAAATGGGTTGCCACGCCCTCCTCCAAGGGATCCTGACCCAGGGATGGCATGCAGGTGAGTTCTTTACCATTCCCACCCCTGGGAAGCCCTGGGCCTCTGTCATATCACCCTGTTTCACAGAACTGTTTGTCTATCTGTTTCTCCCTCTAGCTTGTGAACAAGTTCCATAGCAACTGGAGTCATGATGTCTTACTCACCACCCCCTTCCCAGCAACTAGGACACACAGTCGGGGCTTAAAGATATTGATTGGTTTGACCCAGTAAAACTGTGGACTCTGGCAAAAAAACAGAAACAATCACAACAACCTCTCCCTGAAACAGCTGAGTCCAGAGTCAAAGAAGAATGATGGTGTGTGCAAACACACTGAAGGGAGAAGGCACAAGGCATATTCATTGCAGAACGTCCTGGAATACGGCCGGGTACCCTTAAGCCAATCACAGTATCACTGCACCCCATTTTCCTCTTCTTAACAAAATGACTATTCAACCTCTAGCCAGCCTAAATTCCACGGTGCATTAACATTTGCATTAACCTTGGGAGAGTGATATAGCCCCGTGTCACTCTGATGATCTGGTGATAGCGAAGGTGGGAAGAGAGAAGGAAAAGATGAAACCAAAGGCCTTGAGGACAACTGAGTTTAAAGAGTCTCTGCCTCCCTTTCAGAAACGTGAAAGAAAGTGTTACTCGTGAGTCGAGTGTGACTCTGCAATTCCATGGACTATAACCCTCCAGGCTCCATGGGATTCTCCAAGCAAGAATACTGGATTGGGTAGCCATTCCCTTCTCCAGAGAATCTTCCCAACCCAGGGACTGGACCTGGGTCTCCCACACTGCAGGCAGACTCTTTATCATCTGAGTCACCAGGGCAGCCCCTTGGAACATGCTTAGGTGTTCAACTCTTTTTTTTTTTTTTAAGGTGTTCAACTTCTTAGCATCTCAGTTCTCTCCTCTGTGTGAGAGGATCAACAATCCGTTGCACACTTTCAGGGTTACTGTTGTGACCAAAGAACATGCTACATGTGAAGACAGACCACAGGGCTAGAAAACCCATGGTCAGACAAAGCCTCATACTAATTAGAAAATGCCGATAATAGTAATAAGTTATGTTTTCAAGTAGCCAGAAGAATCATAAGAAAAAAATTACTTTGGCAAAGGCCAGATTTTTTAGTAAACTCGTGCAAAAGTGGGGATTGGAAGGAATCATGTACTTTTAACTTCTCTTTATAGACTGTTATTTCCTCATGATTAATTCTCTAGAAAAGAGTTTACTGAGAAGGTCGGTGTAACGAGAACGATGGGAGGAAAGGCCGTGGAGAAGCCAGGGAGAAGAGCTAAGGTCTGAGTGGCAGGAGGGCAGCTAAGAAATCCCAGCTTCCCAGGGACCTCCCTTGGGGTTCAGTGGTTAAGATTCCAACACTTCCACTGCAAGGGGCACAGGTTCGATCCCTGGTCGGGGAACTAAGATTCTACATACTGCAAGGCATGGCCAAAAACATTTTTAAAATATTTTTAAGTTAAAAAAAAAATCCTGCATATGTATACATGTGGCTGATTCATTTTGATGTTCAGCAGAAACCAACAATATTCTGTAAAGCAATTATCCTTCAATTTAAAAAAAAAATCCTGGCTTCCTTTAGAGGTTGGGCAGGTTACTTAACTGACTGTAAAACCCTCTGTACAATGATGGCACTGCTCCTGAAAATAAATCAGCAATATCCCTAGAGCTGAAATTCCTACAGCAGAATGGAATAAGAGAAGACATATTACATGTCAGAGGAAGAATTACCGACACCTGGGTTTGAGGGAAAAAGAGGAAATGGGATGCCTGTGGTTATCTGACCCTTTCTACCCGCCAAGGTTTCTTCTTGCAGCCTCAGAATGGAGGCCAAAAGCAAACCAAACACCCTTTAGTTGTTTTAGCTACAAGCACCGTCAGGGATTCGGAGCAACCACCCCTTTGAAACAAGCTGGTTAACAGAGGGCTCAGAACTGGGAATACATGGTGGAAGATGGCCAGGGAGGGCTCTGGTCCCTTGGAGCAGCCCATGGCCACTGCTCACCTCTGCCCTTCCACCCCTAGCTCTCATGTGACTTTGAGTTTTTCCTCCTTCCCTTGGATGACTATCCTATTGCCTAACCCAAAACCTGGATGGACCTTTCTCCTTATCATACACAGACTTGTGGCACAAACTCACCGAAAGAAAGGCAATGCATAGTGAACCTTTAATAGTGAACCTCTTAATTGTGGGCTTTCCAGGTGGCTCAGTGGTGAAGAACCTGCCTGCAGATACAGGAGACGCAGGAGATGCGGGTTTGATCCCTGGGTTGGGAAGATCCCTTGGAAAAGGAAATGGCAAACCACTCCAGTATTCTTGCCTGAAAAATCCCAAGGACAGAGGAGCCTGGCGGATTACAGTCCATGGGTTTGCAAAGAGTCAGACACGACTGAGTGACTGAACATGCACACATCATTAACTGTATCAGAGACAACCTGAATTACTATGATTGCCCCCTCCCAAACCTCCTTCACTTTATCACCTGTCATCAGATATATTAGGATGGAGAGAGAGAGGGAAACTCTATCCACCATTTTTCTGTTTTGTTTAAACTAAGAACTTTCCCAAGAATCACATGTTGGATCTTATTACTGTAATCTTTAAATCAAGCTAAATAATTAAAGCCTAGGGTGAGAACAGAGAAGAAATCAGAACTGTTGGGGACTTCCCTCATGATCTAGCAGTTAAGACTCTGCTAGCTTCCACTTCCCTGGTGGCTCAATTGGTAAGACCTGGGTTCGATCCCTTGGTTGGAAAGATTCCCTGGAGCAGGGCATAGCAACCCACTCCAGAATTCTTGCTTAGAGAATCCCCATAGACAGCGGAGTTTGGCAGGCTGCAGTCCATGGGGTTGCAAAGAGTTGGACACGACTGAGCAACTAAGCATAGCACAGCACAGCTTCCACTTCAGGAGGGCACAGGTTTGATCCCTGGTCAGGGAACTCGGATCCGACAAGCCACACAATAAGGCTCAAAAAAACAAAAAAGGAAAAGAAAAAGAAAGCAGAACTGACTGTGATCCTAGTCAACAAATTATCATTTAATTGTCTTTTTTTCTTTTTTGGCCATATCATAGGGCATGTGGTATCTAGTTCCCTGACCAAGAATCAAACCCATGCTTTCTACATTGGAAGCTCAAAGTCTTAACCACTGGACTGCCAGGAATGTGCCTACCAATTAATTTTTAAGAAAAACATCTGACTAAAAGATGGCATTTTATGGAATTATTTTTTAAATTGGGATAATTTTTCCCCCCCTGTGGCATTTTGTTCTAAGAAGTAACATAACGTAGCCAAGTGCCTCAACTATTATTAAAAAAAAAAAATACATTTCTCTTGATACTATAAACAAAAGGAGCACAGGGAAACAAAACGATGCTTTAGAAAACAAAAAAATCAAAGGGAAGTATGTGAAGATGTGAAGAAGGGTCAAGAATCCAAAAAATCAAAGGGAAGTATGTGAAGATGTGAAGAAGGGTCAAGAATCCAATAGGAGCAGGAAAGAGACAGAAGATGCAACAGACACTGCAAGTTTATTCCTTTTCCCCTGACAATCTGCACTGTTGCTTTCATTTCTTTCTTTCTTTCTTTCTCCCCTTCCAGGATTATCTTTGTGCACAGGGCCATCATTTTTCAGACTGAATGTCTCCTAGAATTTCAGTGCTGCAAACTGAGATGGCGGGGAGAGGGAAATATTTATTTTAAAAACATACAATGAAATATAGGAACCAATTCTTTTAGACTCACCAAACGCTGGTGCACTAGAAATAGCAACTGGTTGCTGTTTCATCACAGGGGGAAGCGCAGAGGGGAGCTGATATCCTTGGAGCTTCAGCTTGATGAGTTTCATAGCAATGGAAAACTCCATTTGATCCATCCTGCCATCATTATTCATATCAGCGAGCGCCCTGCAGAACAACAGCATGGGCTCAGAATGACTGTGACCTTAAAAGAACCTTTCCCAAACCACCAGCCCCACCCACACGAAAACTAAAGCATCAGCTCCCTTGGTCCCAGAGAAAACAAAACAAAACTTGTTTACCAAGCTGTAGGGAAAAAACTGAATAGGTTTTACATAACTATGAATTATGTTTTACTGTGTTAGTCTTTACTTATATGCATGCATTATTTATATGATACACAAGGTAATTTTCAGTCTGAATGTCAGGACATATAAAATGTTCTCAATTGGATAGTGGTGATGGTTACACAACTCTGAATAGACTAAAAACCACTGAACTGTACATTTTAAAACTGTGAATTCTGTTATATAAATTATGTGACAATAAAGCTATTACAGGGGAAACAAAGGTATTTAGAAACAAGAGTTTATTTCTAGATTCTTGCTTAGATTGCATCAACTCCTCTGTGGGGTTCTACAAATCTCACCACGGGCATGTGACATGCTATGCTCTACTATAATGTAATACTGGCATACTTTTAAAGCTGTGAAAATTAATTAAATGAGCTTACAAACACAGTATCTGAAAGCGGTATTCAAACATAAATGGTCAATTGCAACTTTCAATAAGCTGTTATATAAAGTATTTTTCTCAATGAAGAGTAACCAAATGGAAGAACAGAGTTTGGACTTGCAACCGGAAACTACATTTTGGCAAACTGAAACTGCATATGACTTAATTTCTTCTGCACAAAAAACAGTCCTTCGGATTTCATTTGTTGAAGTCTAGATACCAAAGGCCTAAAGATTTATTTTTTTCAAACTTGTCTTAACAAAACTTTTATTTGAAACTTCAAATGTTAAGACCAGTTACTCCAATTAAAATGCTTAATCCTTAGCCATCTTTTAAATGAGCCACATACAGACTGTGTCCACAAAAGAAAATTACGTTACGTAGAAAATAACCCTATATGGCTGGAGTTAATGCAAAGTAGTAAAACATGAGGCACAGAGAAAACTGTCATAAAAAGATTACAAACCTTTAAAAATGTTAGAAATTCTAAAAGTCAACACTATCTCTAGGGAAAATTTGTAAAGCTCATAAAATCATAAAGGAAACACTATGGCCACAGGAACCATTCTTCTGCCTCAGATAGGAGCTCCCCTGCCAGCAATGAGCCCTCCAGCAAACCGCACCATGGAACCTGAATTTCTCTCACTGCTAACGGGCTTCAGCATCGCTTGCCATGTTTCTTGAGCATTTGGACTCATGCTTCTATGAAGTGCTCATTCACATCCTTTGCCAAGTTTTCTGATGAATTGCACGTCTTTTCCTTGTCAGTTTAAAAGAGCTCATTGTACATTACATATCAACTGTTTATCTGTCAGTTTCTGAAAGAATTTTTTAACTTTGTCCATTTTGTATAATTCTTCAGCATACAGAAATTCTACGTCTTTATACATGTAAAATACTTCTTTGATCACATAGCTTTCTTTTCTAAGACTGTATTACTTTATTACATTTGAACCTTTAAACCGACTGTAACTGAACTATGCACTGAACTGCACTGCATATATGTGTGGTATATTACCCCAGGGTTCAACCAGATTTCCATCAGATAGATGGATACTTAACTTTCCCAGTAATATTTAGGAACCAATCCATCCTTTTCTCGCTGAAGCAGAAAAAAATTTTTGTGGTTTATTAAATGTTTACATGAAATGAGATCTATTTCTGGATTATCTACTCTGAATAATTTCCAGGTCAACGTGACAATAATCTGACTGCACTGACTCCGGTATCTGGCAAGGCTTATTTTAAAAAAAACTTGTGTTGATGTTTGGAAAAAACCAACACAAACCTTTCAATTAAAAAAATAAATAAATTTAAAACAAAAGGAACTTGTTGGATGAACCCAGAGATTGTCATACTGAGTGAAGTAAGTCAGAGAAAGACTAATATCACGACATTGTTTATATATGGAATCTTAAAAAAAAAAACTAACAAGAACAAGAGTAAAATGAACTCATCTACAAAACAGAAATAGAGTTACAGATGTGAAAACAAACGTATGGTTACCAGGGGGTACGGCAGGGAGATATAAATTGGAAGACCGGGGTCGACATATACACACTACTGTAGATAAAACAGATAAGTAATAAGGACCTACAGAATAGCGCAGGGGACTCTACACGATACCCTGAAATGGCCTACGTGGGAAAAGAACCTAAAGCAGAGTAGACACATGTGTACGTATAACTGATTCATTTCACTATCCAGCAGAAGCTAACACAACAGTGTAAATCCCAATAAAAAAGTTTTTAAAAACTTGCTTGGCTATTTAGACGTTTCTTTTTCCCTATGAACTTTATTTATCTATTCTACAAACAACTCTCTTGAAATCCAAGATGAAACTGCATTAGATATATTAATTTTTATAGAATTGACATATTTATGATAGTTTGTCCAAAGAAAACAGTACATTCAGTTCTCCTAATGTTTCCTTTAAAAAGATTACATCACTTTCTCCATATAAGTAATTACTATTCTCATTAAATGGGGTCTTAGGAATTTTATCATTTCTGGCACTCAAACAGAACATGTTCCTCATTTCCATATTTAGATGCTTATTTCAAGCACAGAGACAAATTTTGCTTTTAATAATCATTTCTGCTGGCTGATCAATCTTACCAAACTTCTGCGAAACTTACACAATCACCTAACCAGCAAAAGAGTTAGCTTTCGTTTCCTATAATTATACCATTCCTCTCTTTCACTGCTCTTACTATCTCCACCAGATTACTGAGTGAGCATTCCAGCTTAGTTCTGAGTTTAAGTTAGATGGTTGCAGTGTCTCACTGTTTAGTGTAATATTTGGTACTTATTTTTAGAAAGTAATCTGACATATTTAAGCAGTTCCCTTTTCTACTTATTAGAAATGCTTGCCATACATTTTATCAAATGTCTAATCAGCATCTGATGACCTGATCACACACATCTTCTTTTTCCTTTTATCTGCTGATACAATATGGGCCCCCCTGGTGGCTCAGACGATAAAGAACCAGCCTGCAATTCAGGAGACCTGGGTTCACTCCTTAGGTCGGGAAGATCTCCTGGAGAAGGGAATGGCTACCCACTTCAGTATTCTTGCCTGGAGAATTCCATGGACAGAGGAGCCTGGCAGGGCATAGTCCATGGGGTCGAAAAGAGTTGGACACTACTGAACGAAATAATGTTGAGGGAATTCCTTGACCTTGAACTAATCTTGCACTCCTGGCATAAATTCAAGTTGGTCATAGTTTTTGTACATTGTAGAATTCCATTTGCTAAGACTTTGTTTTCATTTTTCTGTGTCTATGATCATAATTGAGATTGGTCTCTGGTTGCTTTATTTTTAGTCTGTTTTTCAGGTTTCATAAAGTAAGTTGAATCAATAAAATGAAATGGTGAGCTTTCTTTTACCAATTTTTCTTTTTTTGGTGACACTGTGCAGCATGTGGGATCACAGTTCCCTGACCAGGGATCGAACCCGTTGCCCTGCCCCACAATACAAGCATGGAGTCTTAAGCCCTAGATGGCCACAGAAGTCCCTCAAATATTTTTAAAAAGACATTCAGGTATTTCAAATGGTTTTCACGGATATAATAAAGGTTCCCAACAATCAATACTGACATGCATACTTTACAAAAAAACAAACAGGCAGATAAGATCCCCACTTTCTATTCCCCACACTACTGCTCCCAAAACACATTTTCTAGAGAGAAACAAAAGTATCTAGTGTGGGATAATGAGTGGGTTAGGGGAAAAAGACTTTCTAGTAATGACATAATTAGTAAAAGCCTCAATGGGAGAGGAGAGGAAACATGTAATGCTCAGATTCTAAACATCCACTAAAATCCCAAAACATCTGCAACAATTTTGTGTGATCTTTTTTAAAAACTTCTGCTCAACTAACATAACATAGCTGTTGGGATTCCTTGGTAGTAAAAATTCAAAGGTCTTTTTAGAACTAGAGCAGTTACTCCTACAAAGCTCAACTCTCTCCAATCCCTCCTAAGACACTAGAAAAGAGTCGGAATTCTATTTCTCAAATTTTCTCTGCAAAAAATGATTTCAGCTATGCTATACACTTCATCTCCTGTGTGCATGCTCAATCACTTAGTCTGACTCTTTGCAACCCCATGGACTGCAGCCCGCCAGACTCCTCTGTCCATGGAATTCTCCAGGCAAGAATGCTGGAGGGGGTTGTCATGCCCTCCTCCAGGGGACCTTCCTGCACCAGGGATCGAACCCCTATCCCCTGCATTGGCAGGTGGATTCTTTACCACTGAGCCACCTGGGAAGCCCACTCAGTTCTTGACCCCAGAAGACTAACTAAAAGTCTAAGAATCCTGAAGCTAAATTCACACAACTTCCAAAGTTAAAAAAAGTATGCTAAAAAATATTTTTAATAAAAAGTAAGTGAAACAATATTTATGACTCTTGAATACAAACTGATCTTAAACACGATGTTTAGTCTGATATTAAAATCTATATATAACAACAGGCATGGTGGAGATGAGAGAAGGTCCACAAGTATACTGGATACTAAGGGTAAGCTTTTTGTTCAATTTGTACAAATAAACCACAGGTTGCTCTTACATCCTATGGGAAACAGTGTTTCAACTTCAAGCATAGGAAAATCTGGCAACACCTGCAGAACTATGTATGGATTTACTCTTTGATGCAGCAATTCAGTCCTATGAATTTACCCTGAAGGTACACCTCCAACAACACAAAACACATGCTTTAGCTCACTGTTCACTGCATTGTTTGTAACTGTAAAATATTAGAAATAACCCAAATGCAGAAAACACAGGACATTGGTTGAATAAACCATAGTATACCATTCACAATAAGTATTATATAACTGTAAAAAGAAAACAAAGATTTCTATGCAATGATATGAGAGATTTCTAGGATATGCTATTAAGTGAGAAAAGGAAAGAACAAAAGACCATTTATAG